ACGTCAGAGGTTTTATTAGATTCAAGATTATTGTTTAGCTGCCAAGGATGTCTGAATCACATGAGAATAGCCCCAAACAGTGTTCATTTGAATGCTTTCTGTTATTATAACCCTGAACTCTCAATACATTCTTAATGCTCTTTATTTAGTAAAGACAGGCCATATAAAATAAAGACTTTGATGAAATAGTAAAGTCCGCATGTAATAATAATGCATGTAAGATGACTCACTTCCACTTTTAGAAGGTCTTGAAAATAAAATACACAAAGCCATGCTTAGATTTGTCTACAGGACGACTTCCACCCATTGTGCACTGCCTGTTTAAAAACTTTGCAACATTTGAACCGACTTATCCTGCAAGGCAAAATGCAGAGAAACACAGCTACTGTACATCCTAAGAAATATAAAATTGAAATCTGTGTCTATATATTCATTCCCTCAATAAATATTAAATTACGGATGTCAGATGCGACAGCACAACCGTAGGAAATCACTAGAATCCTATACTGTGTATTTGCAGGCATATAACTAAACTAATGAGGTAGTATGTCCTAGTTACAATGATCGTTGTTATGTGTCCTTCAGCGAGGCTGCCAGCATTGGCTGTTTTAGAGCATTTCCTTTGTCACAAACAGAATCAATCTGCTCTAATCGGCCTGTGTTGTGTCTTTCTCGGTCTGTGTATACGTGCAGGAGAAACAGTCAGCAGTCTGAAGTGATTGTGGCAGAACTCGTCTACAGATTCCTCATTCCTGAGGTGCAGAAGATTACTGTCAGAGAAAGAGGTGGGTTATTCAATAATGGCAGATAATCAGTAAAATACCAAGCTATTGCAGGCCAAGCCAAGTTAGTCCTTAATGTTAATATCTACTTATATTTAAAAGAAGTACAATGTTGTTTTTCTGTGGAACACAAATGGATTTAAGGAGCATAATGTAGCATGTTGCTCTTTTAGAGATGGAGATGCTTACTTAACTCATGTTAAATATTCCAAGCTTGTTAAGAGAAGAGAAATTTAAAATGGTGTCATTTCTACACCACTACTGTCATCAAACAGAGCAACAGTTTGGAGAAATCAACCTACAAATTAAGTAAATATTCATTAGAATTTATACTTACAATTATTGATAAGTTGTATTAATTAAAATCTATACTATTATTATTCATTTTACATATTAATATTAAATAAAATATTAATTATTAAATAACAAATGTAAAAGTTACATGTTTCAAATGGGAAATTATAATGTAAATATAAGATTATTTAATTCATTTAAAAAGTAAAACATTGGAGGGTTAGTAGAAATGGGCCAGCAGAAAAAACATTACATTCATCTTGGCTTTAAGTCTGTAAATTGTAGTATTACGTGTAGTATTTCATCTTTGAGTGAAATGAGGATATAAGTAGATGAAAACATTGCACTTTTTTTCCATTACTGAGGCATATAAGAGTGTCATAAAAGCTTTCTGAGGTTACAGATCACACAAACATAGAGAACAAAGTTCATTCAAAAATGAACACTGTTTCTTAGACTAGTTCCGAACAGCACTTCAGTTTATATATATATATATATAGTGACATTCATGCAAACATCTTTCTGCTTTCTCTTGTGCATTGCAAGAGTGTCTTAAAATATTTGAAAAGCCTCATGCAGAACTTTTCATGCTATAAATTGTCACATTACCAGTAGGGCCTATTTGTTAAGCTTGATCTGTGAGTTTGACGTGTACAGTATGTGTATGTATCACAGTGGGAGTCGTGTGACCTGTGTTATATATTTAATGAAGTATCCTCACTATTTCCCATGATCTGTTTTTAATTCCCCATATCTCCATTATTTGCTGTGTAATAAAGACCCTGTTCATACAAATGCAGTATGTGCACACACAACTCTCTTGTCTCAGCTCTACAGCTTGCTCAGGTGACTTTGACCGCATGACTTTACACAGGGATGAAAGAAGAAATGATCCTGCATACAACAAAATTTAAATGAATGATTTGTTGGCATAAAAAGATATCTTACCAAAAATGTACATTCGCTCACTGTCATGCCCTACAGTGCTGTATGATGTTATTTCTTCTGTGGAACATAAAAGTAGAACAAAGTTACACAAAGCTTTCCATACATTAAAAGTAGATTATGACCCGTGACTGTCAACCTCCATAAGAACAAGAAGCAACAAGAAGTTCTAAGTAATCGAGGCTCATTGTTCAAAAATGAATTTGATGAATGGTGCAGATGAAAGCAGTGACAGTTATCAGAGTCTCCCACTAAGATCCTGGCAGGAATGAGTCATTAAATTAGACTTTTAATAATATTGTGTCTTTGTGTGACATGTCTCTGTTCAGCAGGACAGATAATGGCCATCATCAGATAACAAAATGAAAATGTGTCAAAACTGTCATAACACCCACTCTGCTGTGAGCCTGACTTTTACTCGAAAGCACATAACATAGGTATTTACTAGATTTCATCAGCATTTAACATGATTTAACAGTGGTTCTCACCTGGTTTTGATTTAGAACCCATTGGACATCAAGTGGCGACCCAACACAGTACACAAATGGTTTATTGTACAAAAGCAAACAAAATGTCCTCAATATCAAACACTGAAATTAATAAATTTTGATTAATGTATTTATTTAATAGTATTTATAAACAATTAATATAATTTATGCAACCAGTAATTCTTCACGCAAAATACTTTTTGGAATAAACAATATATTTGTTCCAAGTAAACCCAAATGTAATGTAGTCATATTTTCTTAAACGTTTGTTCATGGTTTGAAGATGAGGGCATGTTACACAACCTGTCCATGTTGACATCTGTCAGATTTGGCTGCTTTTACCAAGTGAAAGATGATGAATTTGTGCTAAAACACAATGTCTGTTACATTTAACCCTATTTCTGTACCCATTCTTTTTCTGCCATAAAAGTATTGTAAATTGTAATGTAAATTGCCCCAAACATGGTGGGATAGTCCCAAATCCCATCTGTCACCCAGGCAAGCACATAAACACCTGCTCAACTCAAGGTGGCACTATCATAAGTATCTTTATGTTTTTACCAGTAATGTAACTGTGTAGCTTAGAAATAAAGCATATTTTTCCTCTGAAGTGCCCCCACGTCTCCATCCATACATATCAGTTTCCGTAAGAATTTATTAAATTTCTGCGTTTAGAAGTGATTTTACTCTGTCAGAACAGACATGCGGCCCAATATTGGTCCACCAATTGAAAACCACTTTAAAAATGTACTCTTCATTCCTCTCTTTTAGTTCGCCAGAGCCAGAGAAGGCATCTGCAAGCAGCTCGTTCAATCATCAGAAGCAGCCCTGGATCTTCTGCGGTCTCCCAGCCCCCATCTCCCTCAGACAGAGCCTCCTCAACCGTCCAGAATGACATACTCAGCCAAGTAGAGGAGGCTGTTCCCAGAACTGTGACCCCAAGAGACCCTGGACCAGCACAAAACAATCTGACCAGTGATCCAACAGCAGACACTCACAACAGGAATGGAAAACATGCAGATTAAGCCCATGAGCAGTAATACAAAACATTGAATTCTTGACCTTTACAATAGTCTTTTATTAACAGTTTGTATTTGTTTTCATAATAGTTGGCATGATTTTTCCTACAGTACTTGTAGAGACATGATAAGTGAATGAACTTTGAAGGAGCAGCTAGAGTCCAAAGTTAATGGTTACACAATAAAACCAGCATTTAATTTGTCGGTGCCACTTTTTCACATTAATAATGGAACACACCAAACTTTGTCCCTGTTGAAAAAACAGCATATGCTGGTTTTTTCAACAGGGGAATAGCTTATAAAGCAAAGACTTTTAGACATCTTCATTTTATCATTTGTTTATCACTTCATTGGTATGGGATGGTTTAAAGTAGTTTTAAACCATCATTTAAAACAATTTCAGGTTGGTATAGGCCTATGTTTAGCACTAATTGTCTGGGTGGCTTTTTCTCTGACCATTAGGTCCATTAGATCCTGTCTGAGAAATGGGCTGTATCTCCTGAAATGATAGAATGATAAGGGAGATTTAGTAGGCCTATTACCTTCTTTTTTTTTTGCATGGCTCAACTGAGGATCTGTAGATATGTTCCTTCTTAAACTACTTAAATTCAAGTGTTTTTGAACCTAACCAGCTCAAAATTTGTTTACATGATGAAAGCTCAAATGTCGATCCTACAGTTTTGCCCTCTGACTACCTGCCTGAATATCTAGATCATCCATGTAATCCACTTCGTATAACACCATGCATCTAACTGAAAGAAAAATAACTAGTTTAGCATTCCTAAAGGAAATACCAATATGATAAAAGGGTTGAAGTCTTATGTAACTTCACTTCTTTTGGCAGAAATAGTAGTAGTGTACAAATTCAGCCATTGTCTAAAGTGTGAAAATGACTGTAAAAGGTAAAAGATGAAGTGTGTACTTTCTGGTGACACTTAAACTTTTTACTTTCACCAAACTGAATAAATGTGTTCAGTTTCAGTTTATGGCCCTAAAAGAAGACGATCAGCTTTTTCAAGACTTGTATGAGAATTGCAAATTTTTAGCAATTTAAGTTGCGGCCACATTTTCCATTGCCGTTTCCCATTTTCCATTTCCATCTCATCCTGATTTCGCTCACGTTTAGGCGTAGTGATTTGATACTTCACTACACTATCATCAGTGGATTTTTATGTTATTGATTGATTGATTTTTATTTATGATTTATTCTTGGCTGTGAATAATTTAAACCGTTTTAAAGCACACAGCAGTTGTATGACTGTGTGATTTATGTTGTTGAACTAAAACTAAAATGATCAACAGAATTATAAGTAGTCTGTATTTTAGCATAAGTTTAATAATGAAAGGCGCACTTGAGGAAAATTAATACATTGTTGGCTTATAAACACTAGGCTATACTGCTGTAGCAGTAGTTGCATCATTTTCTAAACAAATTGCATAATACTCCATTCATTTAGCCCCGCCTGTGATTGGTTGTTCGTTCTTTTATTTCCCTTCCCTCACGACTTTCAGACGGTCTGCTCTTTTGACCGATCAGGAAATTAGGAAAACAAGCACGGCATTGGCGTCTATAGAGAGGAGGGCATACATATTTTCTCGTTTTTCCGTCAAGCGTGTCGTTCTCAGGACATCTGTAACCAGGAAGTAAGTCTCTGTTGGTGCTCGATCACTTGTGTGTAGCCTAGGCTACTATATGCGTTGTTTAAAGCCAGGACTGTAAGTCAGTACAGATCGAGTCATGACTGACGTCGGAGCTCGGTGGACATGGTCATGTTGAGGCATTGCGTGAATGTGCTGCTGATGTGACATGGTAAGTGCGTTTGTTTTTATGTAGCTACTGAAGTAAAGTAGATCGCGAGACGTTACAACAAAGTTGAACGTGCACCTACAAATAAATGCTGCCGCTTGTAAACTATAGGAATGAATGTCAGCATGGTGTGCGTCTGACGGGATTTCAATCTACTGTACTGTTTGATGGGATTTTAATGTACTGTAGGCTACTGTTGAGGCGTCGTCTCGAAGGTCAAATAAAGAGACAGCTAACGCGATTTACAAACTTCTGCTGTCAGCATAACACGCTACAGTCATTCAGCAATATATTCACTATTCAGCGCGATGCATAAATCTGTGCTGAACTTGACTTGTCGAGAGCAGTCAGTACGGTCGTCTGCGCAGTTTGTTAACTTTAACCCAGTGCCCCTTCACTGTTGTTTTATCTTCATTCTTATGTGATAAGCTTTCACACATTTGTTTAATAAAATTATTAAAAATAACACACTGGCAGTCGGTCATTATCACAAATATTACGCTGTGACCAAATTTACTCACCCTTATGTCATTCCAAAACTCTTTAAGGTTCTTCTGTGGAACATAAATGAAGGTATTTTGAGGAAAAAAAATTATCTCCATACAATGGAAGTAAGCTAATGTTTGGTTCCCAGCATTCTTCAAAATATCTTTGTGTGTGTGTTACACTGAAGAAAGAAAGCCATTCAGGATTGGAATAACATGATGATGGATGAGATGAGATGGATGAGTAAATGATGATAGAATTTTTATTTTTGACTATCCATTTGATTTCTTTCTCATTCAGATATTTGTGTCTCTTCTGGTTAACTGATTTTCCAAACTTTTTTTAAAAACTAGAGACTTCTTAGCTTTTAGCTGACCAAAGCTTTTTATGTTTATCATAAAATGAATGCTAAAGTCTTCCAAGGCCGCATGCATATTACTGTCTGTAACAGCTTTGAGATGAGATCTCTTGCTTGCATTTGTATGAAAAGTGAGAGATGGCAGACCACACGAGAGACATGGAAGTATCCCCACTATGCTCAGTTATACAGAATGACCTGGATGAACGGTCACTGTTCAGAAATATTTGACTGAATGCCATGACCAAACCATATTTGAGAGCACTGTGCACTGATATGGAGTAACTTGCGAGTCAGGCTAAATTTGATAGTTTGTGTAGTTCTGCTAGTTATATGAAAAGAAAAAAAAAAAAAAGAAAACCTTCAAGCTTTGAGTGTCACCAAAAAACACACAGACTGAAAGCCGAACAATGTTTGTAGATGCTCAGTTTTATGTTCTGAACATATTAATTGTAATACCCTCTTTAAAATGTTAATTCCAACATAAACAGAGCTACTGAGAAGGGGTCATATGATGTTGCTAAAAATAACATTATTTTGTGTATTTGGTGTAATGAAATGTGTTTATGCGGTTTA